TGTGGATGCATGCACATCTATAGCTATGCACGTGTACGCTTACATGCATAGTTTAACACGCACATAGTCGTGCACACGTATGACCATGTTTGCATGCATGCGTACGCGTGCGTGTGTCTATGAGTGTGCCCGCACACGTGAATCAATATTTATATATATGTGTATGTATACATATATATATATGTGTACTGATGTGTGTGGAGTATGCATAGGCGTGCGTGCATGTGCTCCCCCATACACACAACAAAAAAAATCCTGTCGGTCTCAGGCGGCACGCCGAGGAGGTGCAAAATGTAGATCAGCTGGTCGCGCTCGGTGTTGGAGCAGCCCGCAAGCGCCTGGGCTGCCCCCGTTCGCCAACTGCCCCCCCCCGCTCTCCCCCTTCCACCCATCGCTCCACACACGAACGCACTCGTCGCCATCCCCAGCACAACGTCCCCCGTGACGACAGTGTCATCAAATCGATATATGCGCGGATGTATCATCTGACGAACGTCTGACGTCAGACCGTCGTCAGATCTGACGACGCTCTGACGCCTGACCGTGTTCAGATATGGTATCAACACTACAGTATGATGACACTACAGCATCAACAATCGACCTACAATGGAACTGCCTAGCGCATGGCCGTTGTCAGATCTGACAACGGTCTGACGTCTGACCCTTGTCAGATCTGACATCGGTCTGACGTCTGGTCGTCGTCAGATCTGACAGCGGCATGGTATCACATATGCGCCAGACGATACATCCGCGCGATATGCATGGACCTAGCTTCCCCACGCCACGATCGCCCTAGCCAACTCACACATGCATCCCCAACCACCCATACGAATTAACCCTACACCGCAAGCCACCCCATCCAAATTCCCCCTCATCTCCCCTCCTCGCGCCTGGCGGCGGCGCGTCTGGTTGTCGCGGATGCGGCGGCAGTGCTTGAGAACGCAGCTCAGCTTGTCCGCCAACGAGCCCGCGCGCTGGTGCACGGTGCCTGGGGGCTCGTTGGCGGCGGTGGGGTACCTGGAGGCGGGCAACGGGAGGAACGATGGGTATGGGAGGGCGGAGGAGGAGGGTGGCGGGTGCGCGCGTGCGTGCGTGCGTGCGTGCGTGCGTGCGCGTGTGTGTGTGTGTGTGTGTCTGTGTGTGCGTGTGCGTGCGTGTGTGTGTGTGTGTGTGCGTGTGCGTGTGTGTATGTGTGCGTGTGCGCGTGCGCGCGCGCGTGCGTGCGTGCGTGGGGGCGGGGGAGGGGGGGGGGGGGATGGCGCGATGATGACGCCGGGTGAGTCGGGGGGGGGGGGGGGGGGGGGGGGGGGGGGGGGGGGGGGTGGGGGGGGGGGGGGGGGGGGGGGGGGGGGGCGGGGGGGGGGGGGCGAGGGGTCGGGGGAAGGCTATGCGGGGGGCTGATAGGGTAGGGGGCTAATAGGGTAGGGCCGCGGCAGGTCACGGCAGTATGTCATGGTAGGGTCACGGTAGGTCACGGCAGGGGGCGGTATGGACCCAGCCAATGACCCTACCGTGACATAGCCCTACCTGACCTTGCCGTGGTCTACCTAAGACCTCCTCCATGCCCTCTTCGCCCGCCTGCCCATCCTCATCTACATCAGCATCAGCATGCACCGCCCATCCCCCTCGTCAAGTTTCCTCTCTCTCTCTCTCTCCATCTCTGTCCCTCCTGTTCCCCCATGATCGACCTCCTCGGCATCGTCGCAATCACCGTCGCCATGATCATCCCTCGCAACCCCCCCGTCTCTCCTCCTCCACCTCATCATTACCTTCTCATCATTATCTTCATCCTTCCTCGCCCTACCGTGACCCACGGCCCTACCCCTCCGTGGCCTAACCCTACCGTGACCGAACCCTACCGCGACCAAGCCGTGACCCTACCGTGACCAAGCCGTGACCCTACCGTGACCAAGCCCGACCGCGTCACGGGAGGGTCGCGGTAGGCCACGGGAGGGTCACGGTAGGTCACAGGAGGGTCACGGCAGGTCTTTCTTCCCAACATTGGTTGCAACGGTGCCTGCTAAACACCGTCTCGCAGGCAGCTCTCAGCACGGTGAAGGGGATGTCGGACTCGGGGGAGGCCCGCAGCATGACGTCCACCTGGGGGCGCACGCGGGCGCGCATTGGGGCCGCGTGGGGTGGGGAGGGGGGGGGGGGTTTGGTTGGTGGGTGGGGGTTGCACTTTCCAGAACAAGCGCACGGTGCGTGGGAGAGGGGTGGGGGGGGGGGGGCGCTGCGCGATTTTAGGGCGTGGGCCACCAAGGGCGCCATGGCAGCCATCGACGGGCCATGGACGGCGTGATCCTTGTGGAGGAAGGCGTAGTTCCCTAGTTTGAACGCGGACCGCACCCCCTCAGCTTGGATGTGTTCCAGGAAGGCGTCACCCAGCAGGGAGTGGCACGCGCGGGGGGAGGGGGACGGGGAAGCCGCCATGGAGGCTGGCTCGAGGGGGGCGGTCCCTGTTCCCAGGGGGGGGGCGGAGGAGGCCCTTGGGACCTCGAGCCACAAAGGGCTGGCGGGCGGGCTGCGCGGCGAACGCCCTTGCCGTCAACTCTCCTCCTCCTCCTCCTCCTCCTCCTCCTCCTCCTCCTCCTCCCCTCCTCCTCCTCCTCCTCCTCCTCCTTCTCCTCTATCGCCCTCCTCCTCCTCCTCCTCCTCTTCCTCTTCCTCCTCCAACCCTTCCTCATCCCCCTCCTCTTCCTCGCGATCATCATCATCAGCATCATCATCATTATCATCATTATCATCATCATCATCATCATCATCAGCATCATCATCATCATCATCACCAGCATCAGCATCAGCATCATCATCATTCTCATCACCCTTCCTTTGTCCTCGTCGTCACCGTCACCATCGTCATCATCATCCTCCGCATCACCATCATCACCACCATCGCCATCGTTATGGTCCTCATCGTCGTCATCATCGTCGCCATCATCATCGCCATCATCATCATCAGCATCATCACAACCCTCCCTATCATCATCATCATCATCATCATCATCATCTTCATCATCATCATCATCAGCATCATCATCAGCATCATCATCAGCATCAGCATCACCACCACCACCACCACCACCACCCTCATCATCGCCACTTCCACGGACGGCTCGGCCCTGGGCTCGGCCCCGAATGACCCGACGACGTGCCCCGCGGACACGTCGTCGCCCCACTTGAGGACGAGCGCGACGAGCACGCCCTTCGCGTCGCGCTCGGCCCGCAGCCACTGCGACCTCCCTGGAGGACGCGGGTGGGGGCCCCACCAGGAGCGCCGCCAGCCCTACTCGGGGGGGGGATTCGCCACGGCTGCCCCTCGGAGAGGCGCGGCCATGCCCAGCCCGCTGGCACCCGCCAGGCCCGCGGCGCCCACGACGGCCTCTCGCGGGCCTCGCGGTGCCCTGGTCCAAGGGAGCGCGCCACGAGAGGGGCCTCGGCCCTGGGTGAGGGCGTTCACCATCGCCCCGCGGCACTTGAGCCGACGCAGCTTCATCATCATCATCATCACCATCATCAGCGTCATCATCATCATCATCATCATCATCATCATCATCATCATCATCATCATTATCGTCATCACCATCATCAGCGTCATCATCATCATCATCACCATCATCGTCAGCATCATCAGCATCATCATCATCATCACAATCATCATCACCACCACCATCACCATACTCATAATCATCATCATCATCCGCATCATCATCAGCATCGTCATCATGGTCATCATGTTGGTCGCCGTTGGCTTCACCACCGTTGTCATCAACGTCATCAGTTTCATCGTCGCCAGCCTCATGAGCCTCATCATCATCGTCGCGCTGCTCATGACATGCATCATCAACTACACCATCACCGACGTCATTATAGTACTCGTCGTCGTGTTTGTCATCGCCGTCGCTGTCGTCCTCGCGCTCGTCACTGTGGTCGTTACACTATTCGTCGCGACCGATCGGATCTGACGATTGGCGCTCGGGTGTGACGATTGGCGCTCGGGGACCGTTCGCGACCGATCCGCGACCGATGCGCGACCGATGCGCGACCGATCGGCGACCGATGCTCCGCGACCGCTCCGTTCCTGGAATTTCGGGCAAATTCGGTCGCGACCGGTAACGTCGGTCGTTACCGGAAAAATCCGGTAATCAATGATCTGGGTGGGGGTCGTCGATTGTGAGCCCCGGGGTGCGAGAACCGTTTCCAACGGCCCGAAGCGGTGAAGTAGACTGCCGTCTGGAGTTGTTCGAGCCGCTGGATGTCCGAGGAGAGGTCAGGCAGGCCTGGGACGCATGTAGACCAGCCCAGGGCGCTCTGGAACGATTTCAGAGCGTTCCAGAGCGCTCTGGAAGGGCCACGGCGTCCGATACATCCTGCAGACCCGTCGACTCTCAGTGATTCCTGGTTTATCACGCCCCGAGTTCCTCGAGACGGGGATGCCCAAGAGGCGGGTGATGACTAGTGGTGTATTGATATCATGGCGGGGGCCATGTATCTCCTAGGATTCCATGGGCCCCTCTTCTTGTCTCGATGCGTTCTTTGTCCCCACCCTCGGACCAAACACGGGTTTCGCGCCATGATTTGCGAACCTTTTCTTTCGGACGCCCCCAATTGAGGGCGTACGTCGCGTAAGAAGGTATCTTCGTGAGCAAGGCACCGCCAGGGCCCTCGGCCCCATCCCTCTGCGGTACGTCCCTGGTCCTGGCGGGGGCCAAGATATGTGAACATCCATCGCCTGTGGAGGTCCGCGAACATTGATATTCCAGGTGGTCACTGTGCATAAACAGGGACCAGGCACAAAGCTGTTTAGCCTGTTTTTGGCCCTTGTTTCGTTTTCGTTCCGTTCCCCGCTGTTGCTCCGCTGTGTGTTCGTTTCGGTGCCGTCTTCGTTTGGCACCGGCCTCGCTCTCAACGCTCGCTGTACACGATCGGCTTCGCTTCGCTCTTCGTTCTGAACGCCAGCGCGTTGTAAACGCCGTTGTCCTCGGTCGCTCTCCCGCGAGGCGGCGGCGCTGGTGGCCCTCGGGGCGACGGGCATCGCGCTGGCTGCGGCGCGCGGCCCCGGCAGCCAGAGGCGCTCTCGGCCCGGAGGCTCTCTGGAGTCGGGGGCGGGCCCGGCGGGGCCCGCTCCGAGCCCTCCGAACTCGATCCGGTGTGGTTTCCGACCCGATTCGAGCCCTCCGAGATTCCGATTCCGACCCGCTTCGGCATCGGACTCCGGCTCGGATTCCGAGTTTCAGGGGGGGGGGCCACGGGCCCGCCGAGCTCCGCCGATCCAGCTTCTCCCGGCTCGTCTGCCGACCTCCGCCGATCCGACGCTCTGCGATCGCCGGGCCGGCTGCCTGGCTCGATTCTGGGCTCTCCTGGCCCAAGGCTGGCCACGCGCAGAAGGGGGTGGGGGGAGGGGGGCAGGCTTCCTAGAAGCACCCCTGCTTCTTAGAAGGCGCGGGCCTTCTTTGTAGATGTAAGGCCAGCGCCTTCTAAGAAACAACCTCCTTCTGAGAAGCCTTCCCCCCTCCCCCTACCCCCTTGTGCGCGCCGCCAACAAGGGATGGAAGTCAGAAGAGCCAGAGGAGCAAGAGGTCATGGGATTTCCAAGGCTTCACGCCTCGGGGGGCAGTAATCTGACCCGGGGTACAAGATGGGCATGCCATATGTTGTTGTGGGTCGCACGCCTCCGAGGAGGACATCTCGTACCCAGTGCGCCTCTGCGCATCCCAGGTCATGAGCATTGCTGGGATGGCGATGATGATCATGGCTCATGGTGATGATGGTGAGAGTGATGGTCCCAGACATGCGATGTCCTGAGTTTTCAGTGTGGGGCCCCCGCGCAGCCCGACCCTTTCCCCAGGACCGTGCTTTCATCCCGCGCCTTTTCTGTTACAGTCCCGGGGCCCGGCAAGGTCCCCCAGAGGCCCAACACGGCCAACAAATTCCCCCCGCCCTTCTGTTTGTTGCAGGACATGGGCAGGTCTGGATTATGATGATGGCGACGATGGCCATCGTGCAGAGCCCCGAACCATCAGGGTCCGGGGTAGCTCCTGGTTCGCGCCTCGTGGGCCCAAGCCGGAGTTGCCCGGGACCGGAGTTATCTCGGAGAAGTCGGGCGCCCAACCAGTCCCGAATCATTTGGGCTGGGGGGTCGGCCAGGGGTAATTTCTGGCTCGTGCGGCAGGGGCACACTGGCGTTACACCCCGGACTGGCGTTATCCAGGGTACAGTCGACACCGATGTTATAAGGATGGGTGACCTTCCCAAGCGTACAGTGGAACCCCTTGCCTAGAAACACCTTGCTTGCCTCCAGGGTGCCCTGGGTGTCTTGGGTGTCGATGGTTTTCCTATAGAGAGCGTGACGTTCCCGCACCAAAAACCAATAGACGTCCTGGGGTCTCAGGTTTGGGTTCCTTGTGGAAGGCTTCTTGTGGACTGGCCTAGGCTGTACCCTTGCATCCCTGGCCTCCTCGTTCCATCTCAAGCCACTTTCGATGGCGAGCCCCGCCCGAAAAGCTTCGCCACGGATGTCCAAGGGACCTGCATCTTTGCCGCGGATCTCTAATATCAGTTTTGACGGCAATCTGGGCGTCCAAGTCTCGGTGTTGGCGCCGCCCCTCCCCGCCGCTCCCTAGAGGAGGAGGAGGAGGAGGAGGAGGAGGAGGAGGAGGAGGAGGAGGAGGAGGAGGAGGAAAAAGAGGAGGAGGGGGAGGAGGAGGATTAGGGAGGAGGAGAAGGAGAGGATGAGGGGAGGCGCAGGAGGCAAGGAGGAGGAGGAGGAGGAGGAGGGCGGAGGAGAGGAGGATGCGGATGAGGAGGAGTGGAGGAGGAGAGTATCGTTTCACCGACCCCTATCCCCATCCCCATGCCCATCCCTACCTTGACCCCCACCATCTCAGCACCCTGGTTGAGAATGTACCCCTCGAAGCCCAAAGGAACAGCCTATCTATGTTTGGGGGGTGAACCGGCCAGTGAGGCCCAGGCCACGCCCACGGGGATAGGGGTCGGTACAACGATGCTCGCAGAAGAAAACAAACGCCATAAACGTAAACTTTTGGCGCTCCGCGCGGGATTCTTGGATCTGCGCTGGGCCCCCCCGGCGGCGCCTCAGGCGTCGCCCCTGGCGCGCTCCGCGCGCTTGGGAGGGGGTCCAGCGTGGATCCAAGAAATCCGCACGTAGCGCCACATATATATATATATATATATATATATATAGAAATAGAAATAAAAATAGAAATAGAAATAGAAATATAAATAGAAATAAAGGGGGGGGAATTGTTCTAGATGCCCCCCCGCTCCACAGACCCCGACGTCATGATTTGTTCGTGACGTGGATCCCCAGCGGTCTGGACCGATTCCCCGGGACCGGTTTCTCTCCCCAGGTCGGCTTTTGACGGCCCCGAGGGCCAGTAAGGGCCCCCAGAGGCCGACAATTTAGAAAGAACCTCCCGTCATGTCTTTTTCATGACGCAAGAGTGATGGGCTGATTTTCCACCGCCACCATGGGTAGGACGGGGGAGACGGGAGGATGGGGAGGTCCTCTTCCTCCTCTTCCTCTACCTCCTCCTCCTCCTCGCCGTCAGGCCGGGGCAATTTTCAAATGCTTCGCCACCGCGGATAAGCGGTGCAGCTTGGGCCCCGTGTGGCACCGCCTGAACGCGGTGTGGGTCCGATGATGTCGAGTCAGGCTCCTTTCATCCCGCCCGCTCGCGGGCGCGATAAGGAACGGGCGGAGGGTGGCACTTCCCTCTGGGAGGTTCGTGGTCGTTCGTTGTCGTCCTTCGTGTCTCGCTTCGTCGTCGTGTCCGTCGACCCTTCCCTATTTGGGAGTTACCGCACGGCCCTGGATGAAGTTCCGGGGCGGACGTTGTTTGCGTTCCTGGGCCAGAGAGTGGCCCTCTCCCCCTCCCCGCCCCTGCTGCCGCCGCTGTCGCCGTTGCAGCTGTCAGGCCAGGGTTTTCAAGTGGCCTGCCACCTCGGCCAAGTGGTGCGGCCTGGGCGCGGGGAGACCCCAATGGCACCTCCTGGTCTGAGGTGAAAAGCCGCCGACGATCACGGAGGCGGGGCCCGCGGCTTCCCGCCTGTAACCTCTTGGTCGCAGTGCTCTTTGCCGCGGACATACTGTTGCCGTGCTCGCGTGGGCGCGGGCGCTGGGCAACGTTCCGCGCGTTGTCCCTTGGAACCCCCATGCGCCAGTTCGGCGCGGGGTGTAGGGCGGTCCTTGGCTTTGTTTGTTGGATTTCCTCCCTACGACAGCGTTTCTGGCGCTATCGTGAACTAGTCAGGGAAAGGAAGCCGGAGGTCAGGTCCCAGCTTGCGTCCGTCATCCCCTTTTCTGTTGCGCGTGTGCCCTTGGCGTTGGCCGTCGGCCACGTTGGCCGTTGGCCAGGGCGCGTCGGCCCGCGTTTGGTTGGGCGCCACGGTTCCGTTCTGCTTCTTTGGGCCTGCAAGCGCCTCTTTCTTCTCCTCATATTCCTCCTCCTCCTCCTCCTCATCATCATCATCATCATCCCATCCTCCCATCCTCCTCCTCCTCCTCCTCCTCCTCCTCCTCCTCCTCCTCCTCCTCCTCCTCTTTCTCCACCTCCTCCTCCTCCTCCTCTTCCTCCTGTTCCTTTTTTCCCTTTTTCTCCTCCTGGCCAGGCCCACCGCCGCGCCGCCCGGGAGGGGCAGCCCCTCGGGGCCCCCGACGGGCCGGCGGCGCCCCGCGGGTCGCGGGGGCTCCGGCCGGGCGGGGCCCAGCAGCGCCGAGCGGAAGGCGGGCGCGGCCGCCGCCGCTTCACGGCCGCGCGCCGAGGGGTGTCAGTCCCAGGACCCCCTTCCCCTCCCCCTCCTCCTCCTCCCCTCCTCCTCTCCTCCTCCTCCTGCTCCTCCTCTCCTCCTCCTCTCCTCTTCCATTTCCTCTCCTCGCCTCCTCCTCCTCCTCCTCCTCCCTCCTCCCCATCCTCCTCCTCCTCCTCCGCTTTCTCTTCCTCCTCATCCTCCTCCTTTTCCTCCGTTCCTCCTCCTACCCTTTTTCCTCCTTTTCCTCCTCCTCCTCCTCCTCCTCCTCCTCCTCCTCGTCCTCTCCTCCTCCTCCTCTTCCTTTTCCTCCTCCTACTTTTCCTCCTCCTCCTCCTCCTCCTCCACCTTCTCCTCCTCCTCCGCTTTCTCTTTCCTCCTCTTCCTCCTTTTCCTCCTTTTCCTCCTCCTCCTTGTCCTCCTTTTTCCTCCTCCCTCCTCCTCCTCCTCCTCCCTTCCCCTCCTCCTTTTCCTTTTCCTCCTCCTCCTCCTCCTCCATTTCCGCTATCTCATCCTCCTCCTTCTCCTCCCTTTTTTCCTTATGCATAATTTCTCCTGTCGCACCCCGAGGCAAGTTTTTGGGCGGGCGGGGAGTGTCGCTACATATGTTTCGCCATTTACGTATGACCCTGAACATTTAAAGAGTGGCAGTAGCTTCGCAGATGGAGGGCGGTTCCTTTTCAAAGTGTGGTTTTCGCTTGACCGTTGCGCACATTCGTTCTTAAAACTTGCAAGAGATTCGCGGATAGAGGCGGGTCGTTTTCAAATTGTAGGTCTCGCCTTAGCACCGCGCACGCTCGTTAGAAATATTTGCAAAATGTTCACGGATTGAGGGCGGGTCGTTTTCAAAATGTGGTGTTCGTCTTAGCGCCGCGCACATTCGTCATTCGTTCAAAAATTTGCAAGAGTTTCACGGATTGAGGGCGGGTAGTTTTGATTGGTTCTCGCCTCAGCGCCGCGCACGTTCTTTGCACACATTTGCCAGAGATTCACGGATTGAGGGCGTGTCGTTTCTAAAATGTGGCCTCGCACTAGTGCCGCGCACGTTCGTTTTAAACATGTGCAAGAGTTTCACGGATTCCCATGATCCACGTACCAGACATGATGTTTTGGTAATGTTCAGGACTATGCGGGTGCAACCGTTATGTTGATTCGTGGTGTCAACGTCCCAAAAACGGCGTTCTGGCACGATTCCGGATCGTTAAGACGCAGCAGTGTGGGTGATCCGTGGAGGTGAGATCACGAGAACCATGTTTTGGCATGCTTCGGGATCTTCAAACGGTTGCCTTCCAGAGAGGCAGTTCCCTCTCAATGGAAATGAACTGTTGCAGGGCCTATGAAGAAGGGGTTTGGAGGGAGGGTTTATTGGTTTATCCCAGCATGTTTGATTTGATGACTCTTGGGTTTACACTGGTCCTCCTCCTCCTCCTCCCTCCTCCTCCTCCTCCTCCTCCTCCCTCCTCCTCCTCCTCCTCCTCCTCCTCCATCTTCTCCTCCTCCTCCTCCTTTTCCTCCTCCTCCTCTTCTTCCTCCTCGCGGATACAGGCGGGTCGTTTTCAATTTGTAGGTCTCGCCTTAGCACCGCGCACGCTCGTTAGAAATATTTGCAAAATGTTCACGGATTGGGGGCGGGTCGTTTTCAAAATGTGGTGCTCGTTTTAGCGCCGCGCACGTTCGTTTTCAACACGTGTAAGAGTTTCACGGCTTCCCATTATCTGCGTACCAGAAATGGTGTTTGGAAAGATTCAGGACTATGCGGGTGCAACCGTTATGTTGATTCGTGGTGTCGACGTCCCAAAAGGGCGTTCTAGCACGATTCCGGATCTTTAAGACGCAGCAGTATGGTTGATCCGTGGGGTTGAAATCTCGAGAACAATGTTTTGGCATGCTTCAGGATCATCAAACGGTTGTCTTCCAGAGAGGCAGTCCCTCTCAATAGAAATGAACCGTTGCAGGGGCCTATGAAGAGGGGGTTTGGACGGAGGCTTTATCGGTTTATCATATCCCAACATTGCTGCTGACTCGTGGGTTTACACTGGTCCTCCTCCTCCTCCTCGTCCTCCCTCCTCCTCCCTCCTCCTCCTCCTCCTCCTCCTCCTCCTCCTCCTCCTCCCTCCTCCTCCCTCCTCTTCCTCCTCCACCTCCTCCGCCCTCTTTCTCCTCCTCCTCCTCTTCCTCCTCCTCCCTCCTCCGTCCTCCTCCTCCTCCTGCTCATCCTCCCCTCCCCCCTTCGCAGGCGACCTCTCGCCCCCCGCCCCTCGGTTCCCCCGAAGCATGCCAGGCCGCCTGGAGGTCCTCGGAATTCGGAGATGCATTTTTGGGGGGCGCCGTCTGCCCGGACCCCGTCTCCTCCTCCCCTCCTCCTCCTCCTCTCCTCCTCCTCCTCCTCTTCTTCCTCCTCTTCCTCCTCCTCCTCCTCCTCCTCCCTCCTCCTCCTCCCCTCCTCATCCCCTCCTCCTCCGCCCCCCTCCTCCTCCTCATCCTTCTCCTCCTCATCCTCCTCCTCCGCCCTCCTCCTCCTCCTCCTCCTCCTCCTCCTCCTCCTCTTCAGCCTCCCCCCCTCGAGCCGTGCCAAACAAATCACGGCGGCAGGTTGTTTTTGTTTGCTTTCTTCGGCCTCCGGGGGCCCTGGCCCGGGCCGCGGGCACGACGAGAGACGGTTCGGGAGGAGAGGCCAGTCCCAGGGAGGGGGGTTGGGCCTCTTCGGAGGTGGATAGACCTCCTACCCTGACACGTCGATTAGTGAATTGTCCGTTTTCGGTTCTCGAGAGGGCGCCGCGGCCGTTATTTTCCAGGCTTGCGCCCGCCAGGTTTGGGCCCGAAGTCGTTTTCACTGAACCACGTGTTACTAAAGGGAGGTCTGTCCATCCCCGACCTCTGGGGGTCGCGTCATGAAGAAATCATGACGTCGGGGGTCCTGGGGCCAGACCGAGGGAGAAGAGCGAGGTCGATTCGGGGAGGGTATGCCCTGGTGTTTTCCTTCTCGTTGCTCGACTTGCTTGTGCATCCTGGGGAGGGGATGTTTTGCGTGTGTTCTGGCCAGCGGAGGGTCTCGTGTTCTTCAAGGATGTTCTTCTGGCCTGGGTCCGACTCTGTGGGGGCGGCGTCTCAGAAGCGACCCCGCTTCTTAGAAGAGGCGGGCCTTGTCTACAGATGTAGGGAGGGCTCCTTCTAAGATGCAGCCTCCTTGCAGGAAGCCGTCGCCGCTTGGAATACGCTGCCTCGCTTTTGCGAGGAAGCTGTGTATGGGGGAGGTACAGGGGGCACGGTGTTTGCACAGTTCGGAGGAATTCGTGAATTCAGTAGGTGTCGGGACTGACATGCCTCGAAGAATTCGCGCCCACCCGAATCGCAATCATGTGGTATATCTGCAGACCGCTGACACTTAACGTTCCGTCGTCGTTTTCCTCCTTGTTCCCATCTCCTTTCTCTATCCCTCGGATTGGGTTGAAGGCGGCTCTGGCAGAGGAACGCCCCTTTCCTCCTCCCCCTCATTCCTCGCTCCTCCTCTTTGCATCCCTGCTCCACCATGCGTCGCCCCACCTTGTCCTCCCTCCTTGCTCCAAGACGTGCAAGTGATGGGGCCGCTCGCCCGCGTTCGCATTGTATTGCCCGTTCGATAGCCGGGCACAGCGAACCAGCGAAGTAGAGGGCGTGGCCGATGCAAATGGTCGGGGCGCTCTCCACGCGCGGGCGGTTCCGGCCGCCAAACAAAGTCGTAGCGCTAACATGTAAAGTTTTTGGAACCTGCGACAAGGTCTGCCACCAAACCATCGCAGCGGTCCATCGCAGGCCACCAACTATGCTTGCTCACGCGTCCGGGGCATGTGACACCTGTCATGTTGTCGGACTGGTGTCGGGCCTTCTTGGGGGGTCCTTCGGTGCCCTCTTGGGACGTCTCGGGGCCGTTGGGGGCAGCCTTGGCTTGGCGCCGGGTTCCACGGTGGCCGCCCTGGGCCCGGGATATATGTATTTGCAGTCCTTGGGGGCCGCCCTGTGCTAGGGATGCGTGCATTCGCACTCCCCCCCAGCCAGGTGCGTCGACTTCGTTCTGGTTTGGCAAAGTAGGTGTATTTTCGAGGTGGCGAGCGTTTACTTTTCCGAAATACACAGATCAAGGTGCGACCTGTGTACACAGCTCGTGTCTTCAACTGTGTAATTGCGCGCGTGGGTCCACCGTTTACACAGATCGTGGTGTGTCTGTGTACACAGATCGTGCTCCCATCAGTGTATTTGGAGCGTGCTCCTCGCGGGTAGCGGTGACTGGGCGGGAAGTTTCGCGTTTTTGTCGGTTTCTCCTCGGGGGGGCTTCCGCGCGGGCGACATGCACAGCTCCCGTGTCCAACTGTGCACGCGCTGCGCGCTACCAGCTGGAGCGGCGCCTGGGTGGGAGTTCCCGCCGATATCCCTGCCGGTCACAGAAGGGGCCGTGAGTTGGGAGGGCAATGGCGCGGGCGCCTGGGGATGATACGCGATGGGAGAGAAAGGGTGCGAGAGAAGGGGTGGCGACGGGGCCGGGGGATGAAAGGGGGAGGAGAGGGGGAGAAGACATGGGCCCATGAGGAACTGCAGCATCGGTGTCATCATCGCGAGGCGAGGAAAGCGGGGGGCGCAGAAGGAGGTGGGATGAATTGCGCGTGGCCGCGGGGGGGCGGGGGGTGGCGAGGGCGCAGAGGGAGGGGGGCGCATCGGGCGGAGGAGGGCGAGGAGGAACGCCGCGCAGTGGCGGAAGGGGCCGGGGGAATGACGAGGAGCAGGAGGGGCACGAGGGGGGCGAGGCGAAGGGGAGAGGTAGGGGGAGGAGGGGGGGGATGGTGCATGAGGGTGGGGCGGGCGCGAGGTTACGCTCATTTGGGCGGTGCTTTGCGTACCCGTGCAACACCGTAAAACACAAGTGCCGGCTGCAAAACACGGCTGTCAGAGTCGTCGTGCGCGGCGCGCGTCCCAGCCAAACGCATGAGTCCATGACGCTCCTCT